TTGTTAGCTTGTGTGGCTTTACAGGATCTAGTAGAATGAACTTGTGCAATACAAACGACCCGCGCATTTTTTTACACACCACGCTTGTGCCGTTTTGCTTACGACTGAACCTGATTACCCAGGTTTCCCTTACACCAACGGCTCAGCCAATACAAGCTCGATGTGCTCAGTGAATCATTTGCCTACCACGCTGGCTTGATAGCCGGTGCTGATCGACATGACCAATTGATCACTGGATTCGACGGCTCTGAGAGCCGATCTTCCTTCAAGACCCACCTTTTTATCAAATCCGACCCATTACCGACCCCATTCATCATTACAAGACTCAAAGACTCGTACGACGGCATACTTGGCATGCCATGGATCAAGAAAAACTTTCACCTGATTGACTGGAGTAAAAGTATGGTACACCCAGCCGAGACTCACGTTGCAACCACTTCATTGGTTTCATATTGGCCAAAAACACCCTTATCTGGCCACTCTTTGGACCCCATGAGGGACGCTAGGCACAATTACGAGGGGATGTGTGTCAATTCTGACACGTTAGCATCCCCGCAATGTGAGTTCGAGAGTCCAGTTAATCCTAATCACCTTGAAACAGATGACAACCCTCTATCTCCCGATAGTTCCCCCCTTATCACGATTACACCCACCACGAACAACGAAAACCACGAACACATCACGACACAAGACCCGGATACGAGCATTGCGGCCGTAGTGAATACGGCCTCGTCCGTCCCGCCACAGAACCCCGACGATCCCAAGGAGGAGCCTCAGGGGCACGCAAGGAACAGTGACGAGGGGGCTAATGTCTTTTTAGATATATCAACGCCCCCGCAATGTGAGTTTATTACTGATTCCAACCCATGTTCAACCCGAACAGCTGGCAAGCCTGTTTCTCCCTTGAATAACACATCAATCCAGGTCACAACAGCCAAGACGTCCTGGTCAACCTCAGCACGACTCGCCGTCGACAAAAAGAAACTCGAACCCGTCAAAGCTCTATAGGAAATTGTCCCGTCTAGGTATCATAGGCTCTTACACATGTTTATGAAGTCCAATGCCCAACGCCTACCCCCGAGACGCCGCTACGACTTTCGTGTCGAACTGATACCAGGAGCTCAACCGCAGGCTAGCAGGATAATTCCATTATCACCAGCCGAGGACGCTGCTTTGGAGGAATTGGTGAATTCGGCTTATCCAACGGGACTATCAGTCGAACCACTTCGCCATGGGCTGCCCCTGTGTTATTCACAGGGAAGAAGGACGGCAATCTGCGCCCTTGTTTTGATTACCGTAAGCTCAACGCCCTAACCGTCAAGAACAAATACCCACTACCGTTGACTATGGACTTAGTCGACAGTTTGCTGGATGCCGAAGACTTTACCAAGCTTGATATGCGCAATGCGTACGGTAATCTTCGAGTAGCAGAGGGTGATGAGGATAAACTGGCCTTTATATGCAAACAAGGCCAGTTTGCACCTCTGACTATGCCTTTTGGGCCAACAGGCGCCCCTGGTTATTTCCAATACTTTATTCAAGATATCTTATTGGGACGTATAGGTAAAGACACCGCGGCCTTCTTGGATGACATTATGATTTATACAAAGCCTAAAGTAGATCACGAAGGCGCTGTTGATGGCGTACTTGACGTCCTATCCAAGCATACACTCTGGCTGAAACCCGAAAAATGCGAGTTCTCGAAGAAGGAAATTGAATACCTTGGCCTTATTATCTCTAAGAATAAAATCAGAATGGACCCGACGAAAGTGAAAGCCGTCAAAGAATGGCCAGCACCCCAATCAGTATCTGAACTCCAACGCTTCATTGGATTCGCCAATTTTTACCGACGTTTCATCGACCAATTTTCAAGAACCACAAGACCACTTCATAATCTGACCAAGCTCAACGCGCACTATGTCTGGGATGAAAAATGCGAAAAAGCCTTTGAGAGCCTGAAGACCTCCTTCACCACCGCACCCGTACTGAAGATAGCCGATCCATACAAGCCGTTTACTCTGGAATGTGACTGCTCCGATTTTGCATTAGGAGCAGTGCTATCACAACGCAGCGAGGACGATGGAGAACTCCACCCAGTAGCTTACCTGTCCAGATCACTAGTCCAAGCTGAAAGGAACTACGAGATCTTTGATAAGGAACTACTGGTGATTGTCGCGTCTTTCAAAGAGTGGCGCCACTACCTGGAGGGAAACCCCAACCGCCTAGATGTGATAGTCTACACGGACCATCGTAACCTGGAGTCTTTCATGACAACCAAGCAGCTTACCCGCAGACAGGCTCGATGGGCGGAGACACTGGGCTGTTTCGATTTCGTGATTAAATTCCGACCCGGCAGTAAAGCTACCAAACCAGATGCCTTATCTAGAAGACCGGACCTGGCGCCTACTAACGAGGAAAAATTGACCTTTGGCCAGTTGTTAAGACCCGAAAACATCGGCCCAGACACGTTCCCGGTCGAGCTTGCTAGCGTAGAGGGGTTCTTCGAAGATGAAGTGGTTGCACTCGACAATTCTGAGCACTGGTTTGAGGTGGATGTATTGGGCATCGCTGAAACTGACACTAAGGCACCGGACATTCCTACGGATGATCAAATTATACAACGAATCAGAGACGCAAGCAAAGAGTGTGACAGGATAGGGGAACTGATGAACGCAACCTTGAACCCGATATCAGCCAAGACGAAAGCAGCTTTGAAGCATTACAAAGTACAAGATGGTATCCTCTACAACCAAGGTAGAATAGAGGTACCTGACGTCGACGACATCAAATACTCAATACTAAGAAGCAGACACGACTCATTGCTTGCGGGCCACCCAGGTCGAGCAAAGACTCTCGGATTGGTCAGGAGAAGCTTCATCTGGCCATCTCAGAAAGCGTACGTCAACAGGTACGTGGACGGTTGTGACTCTTGTCTAAGGGTTAAATCAACCACACAGAAACCCTTTGGGACTCTGGAGCCACTACCGATACCGGCTGGCCCGTGGACGGATATCTCATATGACCTTATCACCGGCCTCCCTGCATCAAACGGCTACGACAGCATATTAACCGTGGTGGATAGATTAACGAAAATGAGTCAGTTCATTGCTTGTACTGAATCAATGTCGGCTGAAGACCTAGCAGATCTCATGATGAAGAACGTATGGAAGCTTCATGGAACTCCCAAGACGATAATCTCAGATAGGGGTAGTATTTTCATTTCACAGATCACGGAAGAAATTGACAAACGCCTAGGTATACGCCTTCACCCGTCAACCGCTTTCCACCCACGTACAGACGGTCAAAGCGAGATCGTCAATAAAGTAATCGAACAATATTTACGACATTTCGTTAAATATCGACAAGACGATTGGGAAAGTCTACTGCCCACAGCTGAGTTCTCGTATAACAACAAAGACCATGAATCCACGGGCATTTCACCGTTTAAAGCTAACTATGGATTTAACCCATCATTCAACAAAGTACCATCAGCTGAACAGTGTGTGCCAGCAGTAGAGAAGAGGATGCAAACACTCGCCGAAGTGCAATCTGAATTAAATCAATGTTTAGAATTAACTCAAGAGAAGATGAAAGAACAATCTTGACAAAAGAGTACAACAAACACCAAGATGGGAAGTAGGAGACCAAGTCTGGTTGACCGGACGAAACATTTCGACAACTAGGCCAAGCCCAAAATTAGAAAATAGATGGCTAGGTCCTTTCTTCATTATCCAAAAGATATCAAATTCTACTTATAAATTGAATCTCCCTCTTTCCATGAAAAGCGTCCATCCTGTATTTCATGTCTCTGTACTCAGGAAACATAACCCGGATACAATACATCAACGAAAACAACCCCCAGTCGAACCAATCATAATACAGGATGAAGAAGAATGGGAAGTCAACGAGATACTAGATTGTAGAAGAAGGTACAACAAGAAGGAATACTTTGTGAGTTGGAAAGGATTTGGCAAGGAAAACAATTCATGGGAACCCGAAATCAACCTCAAGAATAGTCAAGATTTAGTTAATGAGTTTAATTTAAAATATACCGACGCAACAAATAAGTACAAAAGGAGAAGGCGGAAGAAGTGAGAGGGCTATGCTTTTTCCCACTGGGTTTTTTAACGCAGCCCGTGGAAAGAATGCAGAGCTTGCAAGAGGAAGCTTGGGCATTAAAGGGGGGATAATGTTATGAACTGGTTCTATTTCACTTGAGTGACATATTCACATTACATGTCACAAGCTCGAGAACCATCTTATAGTTGTAGATACATTGCCTGTACAGATTTTCCCTCATCCGACAATCCACATAGGAAGACTGGTAATAGATACAAATCCTCACCAGAACTCCCTTGACCCTCGTCGCCGAAAACCCCCAAGTCTGTCCATAACAAGAGCGGGCTCTCTGATTGTATATGTCTCGCATTGGTCGATGTGCGCTGTCTCCCGGAAGCATGAGCCGAATGGTTCGAGGACGGACATTAGCCTCTGATAAATCATCCATTAATCCTTCCTCTGTAAGTGTGAAACAGCGCAGGCGAGGTAGGTCGCTTGGTCTCTTGAACGGCTTGTGATTGTGACGAGCATGTTGAACTTTGACTCTCCAATGACCTGGCTTTTTCCAGTAGTTGAGAGATACTCCAAACTCACAGCCAGATTTGGCTGTGCTACTCTTTCGTGGTTTTTTCGTGTCCTTTTCCGACTTTGATGTGCCCGATGCTTTATGAAGTTGAACAGATGCAGATGCCTTTGCAGCACGTTTTGTTGTCTGATGACCACGAGTACAATAGAAGTATTGGCTCTGGCGATGGGGACCTTTGTCAGACTTGATAACAATGGCATAACCTTGATGCCTTGCGACAGCCTCCAGGTATTGTTGACCGAGCTCTTTGGAATTGAAGATCTTGCCTTCACGCGGGGGATGCAGTTCACGTTCTGGTTGAACTCCTAATAGGTTATAGGTATTAGACATAGACATACAGCCCTTGTGAAAAATAATGGTTTTTTTTTTTTTTCTCTCCCGGATTTTACTTAGTTTCTGCCCTCTTGATTCTTGAGAATTTTAGACTCAGCAGTGGGTTATGATCATCAAATTCCTCTTGCACATCCATCTTTCGACCACTATATCCAATCGTAAATCCCTCGTTCGACAGTCACGACCTCACCACCCACTGCACACGTGATGAACTTACCTTCCGGATGGAGTCACACCAGCCGGAACTGTCATGTTTCCTCTTCGATTTGGATCCCTTCGATCCCAACGGATTCTCCCAAGAAATCATTTCTTCCCCGTTCACCTTGTCTTCTTTCAATCCACTCGATAATCACTGCTTCGTCTGGGTATTTTGTTTCTTTTTTTCAATATTATCACTTCTCTTTCCAAGGCTATCAACTCACTATTGACATTTACCGTTTGTTTAGTGTGGTTCGTCGTCTTGGTGCTTCCATTGTCAACTACCCTTTCGAAATATCATTTCGATTCAAAGCTCCATTTGGTCAGTGTTCCCATGATCCAAACTTTTGATGGGACAATTGCTTACTGATCTTTCTATTCTTTTGGTCAGCAATGCCACGTGATCCAATTATGAATTTGATTCATGAAAACGAGGATCCCGATGAAGGTGAGTTGTTTCATTCTATATCTTTCACTTGTTCAGAATGTTGATATCTGTTTCTGGTAGTTTTTGATCCACCTTATTTGATCGAGGATGGTGACGACGCCCCAGCGCGTCATCCCACTCTGGAGCGCCTTTGGCGCCAAGGCACTGAAAGCCGCCGCTTGATGGAAGAAAGTCAATCTTTCACCATCGCGGTGGCTTTCAAGATTCACACGAATGATTCAGTCGATGTGATGCCCGGTATGGTGAAAGCACCCTCTTCTTCGAAGGTAACCGCCAGCAAAAAGAAAGCACCACCACCTCCTACCACCGCCGTTATTGATTCATCCGATTTCAAGGATGGACAGATGTTGGACTTCAAAGTATTCTTGTATGGGAAATCATTGAAAGAATTTAAGGACTTGATTGGCGACGTTTGTGACGATTATTTCCCCGGGATCAAGAAGGTCGTTCTTGAGAGTGCTTTAGCACCGATGTTGACCTGGAACGCTAGTGTTGGTTCGAAGAAGAATAAACTAATCGATTACAAGAATTATCAAGAGTTTGTGAACAACTTGGACAAAAGTCGTTCCTCAAAAGGTACGATCAACATCGTACTTCAGAAAGCTCAAGTGAAGGAAAAAAGAAATGCACAGGTGTGCCCTTCTTTTGATATTTCATACTTTTACCAGCGGTTGAGTACTTCAAATTATTTTATCTGACGTTCTTCTTGGCTCTGTTTGCCCTTATGTCACGATTTAGGCTAGTGGAGCAGTTGCTTATATAAAAGGAACCACTGGCCCGAACTCGATCGAAGCCGAACTAGCCGCGTTCAAGGAGGAAACCGCCCTCGCGAAAGAGGAAAGTTTAGTAAGTTTGTTTCACTGCTGTGACCTTGGTTCAGATTGGCGGGCTAATCCTATGTTTCATCCCTTTGTGACCCTACTAGAAGGTCACAGCGGCCAAAGAGTTGGAACTTGAGGCTGCTACCATCTACAACAAACACCTCGAGCGCGCTCTGGGTGGCGATGGGGCAGTGTTGTCGGCGCCTTGGGACCCTAACTACCTTTATTGTTTTTCCCAGAGATGTGCTTTCATATGGGCTAAATGTATCGTAAGTTTATATTTCTTTCATATGTGCTTTGTTTCTTTCCCTATGTTGTAGGCATCGAGCTGACCTTTGTGTGTATTTCAGCGCGATGGCTACACCACTCGAGCCATACCTCCGAACACGAGGGAATACAAGCGGGAGATGGCTAAAAACGCTGTCAAACACCCCGACACAAACGTGGACAACCGTGTAAAAAACCGTTACCCGGTGGCTAGCCCCAACCTTCGCAGTTCTACTTCGAAAAATGAAAACCGCCGCACCTTCTTTGCGAATCGACCTGCCGAGGATGTCAAGGTCAAGGTAGAACCTTTGAGTCCTTCTGACTCTAAACGCAAACTCAAACGCACCCCTTCCCTTCTGACCAGCGGGACTGTCAAGAAGAAAATCAAACAGGAATCTCGTAAGTTACCCATAGGAGTCCAGTGGAACTTTGATTTTGGTCCACACTCGAACTACCGCTCTTGGCATCCATCGCAGCCACGGCAAATACCCCCGATAACGTCATTTCCCTTCTCACCTCTGAGGATCCACCCGAATCCTCCATGGGTCACGTTTCAGACTCGGACGTGGAGACTGAGGTCACCCATTCAACACTTTTGGACGACTTTTTGGACGAATGTGAGATTCCTCGCAATGACGTCTCTACTTGCACCATCCTCCGCAACGCCAACGTTTCCTCTTGGACCGATTTAGTCCCGAGTCTCCAAATGACGGTTAATGTGTTGACTGGACATGGATTGTCCTTCGACATCGCTAGGCGCCTCTTAGATGCTGCCCAAGAGGCCGACGCGGAAATGAAGAAGGCCACTACCTCCAAATGAAAGTATAATAGTTATCCAAAAGCCCAGTAGATGGGCAGCGAAGAGACGTAACTCCCCTCCCCAAAGAACAACTTTAAAAGTGCAATGCAGTCTTACACTTCTTAGTTCCTCCCATTTCTCTCTCAATTGGTTATGTTTCTTTAACCCTGTTATAGCCTTGTTTCCGGTATCTTGTCTACTTTGAGTATGATCATTTGTAAACAGTCTGAAATGGCCATGTCAAAATGAAAACTCTAGTGCCCCTTACATGATGAAAGCGAGCGAGACTTTGAGCATGAGCCGAGAAGAACCTCTGCGAGAGCGCCTCTTCCTCTTGATCGCAGAAGCACGTCAGACAATCTGACGTGCAAACTGGCCACCGAGTCCGAAATGACAGACTTCCATCGGAGTTTTCATTTTGAGCATCTCACCGGAAAACTCCGAACTTTACCGGCTGGCTCGCTTTACGGTATACTCGTTAAGGTAATGGCTCAAAATCTTGTCCCAATTATGGAACCGAAAAACATGTCTTGCTTGTCAAAGTCAAGAAAGACAACTATTATGGATTCATTTCAATCAAAACCGTACATGATTGAGAAAAGATAGAAATGGAAGATAACGTATGGTACAAAATAACTACATGTAGCCACTACCCTTGAAAAGTTTGTCGCACAATTCATCGGTAAAGACATCCATCATGGACATCCAGACCACCGCCCTCTCACCATCGGCATTGATAGCACCTTGAAGATCCTGACTTCTCCTGAGATTAGCCTTCACCGGTGAGAAGCCCTTCTCAATTGGATTGAAGTCCGGGCTATATGCCGGCAAGTAAATCAACCGTACCCCGCGCTCTTCACACAACTCAGCTATCGAGCCCCCGTGATGGATGGGGGCATTATCTAAAACCAGGACTGAATTCCTAGCCGGCCAAGGATTCATGGCCGGCAACTATGAGGAAACCGAGCCAATCAAATTAGCAAACTCATGCTAGACAATGCGAGGATGGGTTGTGGATACATAGCTCACCAACTCTTCTTGCAAGAACGCTTCAAAGTTTAATCTTGAATAACCACCGCGCTTTATAGTTATCGCCAGTAATCCGTCCAGGGAAATCGCAGGTAAGGCCGACCAACGGCCAGCTCGAGTGGGCCGTGGCAGTCGCGGGGTCCGTTCTCCAATGGGAGAGCGAGCATACTCGCGATATAAACGTCTTTTCGAAATCGCGGTTTCATCTAAAGGGTCGAAAAGAAGAAAAATACATTAAAAAAGAAGTCGTGACACCAAAAGACCCAAAAGAAAAGGCTTACCTGCAAAAACAAGGCAGTGAGGGTCAATCTCAAGGACAGAAGCCATGTAGGCACCCCGCGCGGCCAAACTTTGGTTGGGATGAACCGTGCGGGCTTTCTTACGTGTCCAACACAACCGGTCACGTAGCTCGGTAGAAAGCGTCTTGATGGATACCTGCTTATGGAACCTTTCCATTATCTTACTTTGAAGCTTGTCTAAGTACAAGGTCGGATCAAGTCGAAGACTGTCCAGGACAAACAGTCTCTCGGGTCCTCCTAAGACCAACGGAGCCCCACGATCCATGTGATCCATGGGATTCGTAACGACCGCGCGGGTTTGGTGGTAGAGATTTGTCCAGTGACGTACAGACGTAAGGGCCAAGTCCATTCCAAGGGTCCTTGATATGTCCTGAACGCGAACGCCGGTGAGTGCCAATCGGACCACAGCAAGCTTGATCTCGGGGCTATGATGGGCGTTTCGGACCTGGAAACAAAACATATGAGCGAGGCAAGAGAGGAGAGTCTTGAAAAAAGAATAGAAATAACCGGCGGCATGGTGCGGATAATTAGGGAATGTGGCCGATTGGGAGGAAGTGAGGTTGAGGTTGAGATTTCTTTTGCCGGGTTAGAAATCAACTCGCAGAGGTGGTCTGCCAGTTGATTTCTAACCCGGCAAAACCTATCGGAAGATCAACCACCGGATTACCTCCAGTCAGTCTATCTCCATTGCAGATAGACTGACGGTTGCCAAGCACGTATGGTGCTACCTTGCAGATATTCCGTGGGAAACTGTCAATATCATTCGACAGTTTCCCACTCGGAAAAAAAAGAAATCCGGTTTTTTCGACAAGGCAGAAAGTGAGTAAAATCTGGGAGTAAAAAAAAAAAAAAAAAAACCATTATTTTTCACAAGGGCTGTATATCAGGCGGGTGTAGTTTTAAAACCAAACTTCTCGGAGGTTGAACATACCTTGAGGAGGCCAGTCTCCATCAATTTGACCACTTTCTTCATCATCAGTTGTATCTGACAACGATAAACACAGGATCAACTCAAACTCATTATACATTCAAGAGCAGGTACACTTACAATCCCCCCATTCATTATCATCTTTCTCCGACTCATCATCTGACACCTCTCCTTCTGGATCGTCTTTGTTGTTCTCATCATCATCTGTTTCACCATCTGCATCCTCTTCACCATCCATTTCCATCAGGTCTTCAAGTCCTAAATTCAGGTCATTGTTGTTGTTTGAGGTGTGAATCTGTACACTGGAAATAGGGTGGTGAGATAGTGCCGCAGTACTTGAATTATAAGGTGCTGAATTATCATGTCCAAATTGTGCAATTGGCGCATTCATTTGATTACAGAAGTAGTAATCAGACGGATAAGAGTGAGTTAGCTGTGATGAAGCAATGTCTGGGATAAATTGATCAAGAAGGTGATGATTATTGTAAGAATCATGATTTGGATATATATTTGAGGACATTAGATCACAACTTTGATTTTCTGATCGTGATAAACACTCAAACCTGAATAGCTACTTGGTCTTGATGGTTGAAGTGAAATATTGAGGAATTGTGGTTTGTAGGGGATGGATCACAAGCCGAGCAGACTTGCAAATTTCTTCACTCGATTGTTTACAGGCATAGTTTCATAGCAAGGGGTCTCAAGGGGAACAAGCACTTGTAGTTCACAATGTCAGCTCTCTGATCAGAGCTTCAAAACGATCCCAATGGGATGACGCCTACTTCCCATCAGAAAAACCGGTGTCAGACTCTTACGGATGCCTTTACAGGCAGCGTACAGCCCTTTAAGGTGTTTGAAGGCAATGTACACCTGTATATTACCTGTACAGCTTCCAGAGGAATCCGACCTAAGGAAAACCGGTGTCATATGTGATTTCAGGTCGGCGTGGTTTATCAATCGCCTTATTTAAAATGGACATCCGACACGAAATTACCCAGGGTACAGAACCCAAGGCCGTACCTTTGTTAGCTTCAGATGAGAACATGATAAGAGACCTCAAAGAGGTTTTCATACAAGTTCGAGATTCCATCTAAGTCCATGCGTATGCATAGAGATGATGGTTTTGATATGGAAACGTTTTCTTTGTCTCAACGCACAGTACACGCCAACTCTGATTTGCGACGAAAAACTTTACCCAGGATCAGAGTCAGAGGGGCTTCATGGCTGTAGCTGTGATTTGACATCGAATTGTGGAATGGATTGCGAATGCGTCGATTCCCATGGTTTGTGCAGGATGGTGCTCTGAGGCCCTTCTTGAAGACTGACAACAGTCAAAAAAACCTAACAGGTTATTTTTATGACGAGGACTCACGCCTCCTCATCGATGCCTTACCGCGACTTCATGCAATGTATGAGTGTTCTTCACTGTGTAACTGTTCATCACAAGCCTGTAAAAATCGGATCACACAATCAGGAATCAAGTTGAGTTGTAAACAGAACCAAGCAACTCGAGCCTGGAGGTTCACGTTTTCAACTGATCGTTTCACGCCGGAAATCTCTGTCATCAGACTCGATCTAGAGGTTCGGGAATCACAAGGAGGCCAAGGCTTAGGGTTGTATACCCGACAAGACATCCCAAAAGGATGTTTCGTTTGCATCTATGCCGGTGAGGTCATCGATCAGGATGAAGCACGTCGCAGGTGGGAGCAACGAGCTAAAAGATCAGAGGGAAACTATACTCTCGTTATTCGGGAAGCGTCTGGCAGCACTGTTTGGAAGACTATCGTGGATCCCACTTATCGAGGAAATGTCGGGTAAGGATAACACCTGTGGCAGCTGGATCTAACGTTGACTTTGACATGATTGGATAGACGATTCATCAGTAGGTCGCCTTCACTCACTCGTTGGCTCTCGATCGCAACCTAGAGAAGACGGAATCTGAGACCCAAAGAATCAAACACTCTTCCTCCTTAGATCATGCTTGCCCACCGCTCACCTCGCTGATTATTCTGCCTGTGAGGCCTGCCGGCCATATGAAACCTCAGCCCGCATTATTTGCAGGTCGCGATATTGTGAGAGGTGAAGAGCTGAGCTTCGATTATGCTGATGCCAGCGGTACGCTATGGGCTGTGGAAAACTCGGACACTAGAGAAGTAGGTCACAGGGCACTGACGAAATGTCTATGTGGCTCATCTAGGTAGATCTTCTGATTTGAAAGTCGTCACGTTTGGTGCTGATCATAAATTATACCCTTTGATGCATTGCAGATGTCGAGGTTACATGCCTTTTGAACCAGATCTATAGGCCGCGCTTACCTATTTCAGATGATGTTGGAGTACAATTTCTTATGGCTGGCCAGTCAGTGATAAACCAAACTTTGACACAAAATCTTTTGCCAGGTTTTGAGCCATCCAATTCAAAATCTGGAAAAGTATGGGATGCACTGACACGTAGGTTTTTGATGAAATTTCAATTCCAACTCCAAGAAAATTGGTTTTTTACTACCATGACTATTTAGGCTATGGGATTGAAGGCATGTCTTTGAACATCATGTATAATTTCCTAGTCACACAACAACCACAAGTTTTGAGGCTTCATGAAGAAACAAACACCATAGGATACAACTTGAGGTGCAAAAAATAAGTGATCATTCAACATTATCAAAAAGGATTCCTGAAGTTGAACAATTTGATGATCCTTGGATGAAGAAGTGAAAATTATGTTCAAGGATTTTTCAATGCTAAATGGTGATGCGGTGAAAATGCCCTAGTGGACACCACAAATTATGAGAGTTTCTAACTCAACTCAAAACCCAAGATAAACAGTCAAGCAGAATCTATACAAGACGGTACACATGATCAAAACATGTTGACCACCATTGAATCAGATGATTAAAACAGAAGATCAATCATCATATTATTGTGCATGAACCTGGACTGGGAATCATTCCATAACAGGAGCTGCCGTTGTCAAACTCTTTCACAGCATCATCCGCGTATGACCTGAGATATCTATCCTTGGAACTTTTGGAACAAAACTCTAGGAAACCACGAAGTATGTTTGATTCAAAACCATGGATCCACATGTGACGACAGTATTCCTTCATCATTCTGCTTGTCTGATCCAAGTTCCTGAGTACCAAGCCTTCAACACCAAGAATCAAAGTTCGTTGATATTTAAAATTCTTGATCGTCAAATATATAATCATATCTTGGGGTGTGATGAAAAAGCAGTCAGCCTGGTTAGTGATTTTGTCAGACATACAAAATACTAACGTCTTCCCCAAAACTCCAAAATCTTTTGTTCATCAAGTGAATGGTATGACTCTCCGATTATCTTGAGTCCATAAGGCTCAAAAAGATTTTGAATTGATAGGAATTCTTTTATTTTACTTAAAGTTCAATGTCATTTTCATCAGCAAAACTCACTCAACACATCAAATCAAAAAAGAAGGTCATCAGACATATCTTACTTTTTTTGTTGTAAAGAATTGAGATTGTCTATAAATCTTTCTGTGAGGTAGCCCAAGCTTGGGTCATTGCGCAATGTTTCTGCTATATTTGATTGTAACCTCTTCTTACTATTCGAAGGATTTATTCTCTTGATCAAGATCAATTGGAGTTCCACGATCTCCTGCATTACATCCTTGGATTTTGAATATATTGAATAGATTTTCATATCTTATTTTTCCCTTGTCAGCGTCCAATGCTCATCATATTCTACATACAATCTTTTGAGACTCACGTGATATCCAAAATTTAAATAGATATTTTTCGTACTGTTGAAACGACAACTTTTTCAGTTTTACCCCATAGTCTCCTAAATTAGCTTGGATTCTTCTGAATTCAGCATATTCACTATCATGAAAGTCGGAAATCCAACATAACAATAGGTTAAGTTCAACTGAAGACTTCAAGCCAAATTTAAGTGAAGTTGAGACAGACATAAACTCACCCAGATGAATCAAGTGAATCGATAAACTCTAACATTAGCTCTACATATTTACTTTCAGTTTTCTGATGCTCAACGAGCCAATTTTTTTCGTAGCCTTCATTCACAAAAAGTTCCATTCTGGCCAGCGCACCCAAAACTATCTGCACTGCTTCGAATGGCATTTTGTATAACTCTGTAAACCGATGTAGAGCTTTGAGTAGGGATACTTGCTCATTGGGATCTGTTTGGATACCTTGAGTGTAAAATCTCTCGCACATGCGTTTGAGCCGTCTAGACCATAAGTCTTGAGGTGAAATGATTGTGTATGCGATTTCTCGTATCAGTTTTGGATACTTGGGATCGAAACTACGAATTCCAGGTACTGTAGATTTTGAATCAATGTTGGTGGACTGGCTGAAAAATGCCCTATAAGAGTATTGATATCTTTTAACTCACTGTTTTTGGAAAATTTCGTGAATTCATCCCATTCACTTTCTCTCATACCCCAATCATCTTCTGAGCTTTGCCGACTTTGCCGACCTCCCTGGACTTCTCCGCTTTGTGGATTTTCTGGCACAACTTGCAGTATGACCGAAGCTTCATCCGCAGGTTGAATCTCCGAGACTTTTTCCAATTGTGACGACAATTCAATTTGCTCAGTCTTAAAGTCTTGATCATCGAAAGATATCACGACTCACCTCCTTCAGATATTGATAAGCTACTTGTCCTCGGTCTCCTCAGTTCGCAAAGCTCGATCAGCGAACACAGTTGATAGTGGTAGTTGAGCAGTAAGTGAATGAGGATTTGCAAAACATAATATTGAGATATTGATTTATTTCTTCGGAGTGACATGGTGATTTACGTCAATCGGGACAGATCGTATGCTTTTTTGCACGTATCTATATGACAAGCTTAAAATTCTTTGAAACCTTTGATATTTGAAAATGCGTTGGATTGACTGCGAGCTCCTGCTCTTCATAAAACTGCTCACTAGAATGTGTATTCTTGAGAATTTAAAAATATGATGTTTTTACTTCTTTTGTTGTAATTCATGTTCGTATCCGTCTCGACTCTCCACATGACAATCTTAATTTTGGGTTTGATCAAAGAAGGATATTCAAAATGAATACTTACACCGTCCACGTTTCTGTGAAGACAAATTTTCACTAAAACGTGTCACAATACACTTTCTCCAAAGTCTCTTACCACTTGGCTGAGCAAGATGGATTATATTACGTGAAGCAGAGCGGTTGGGATTTATTCCTGAATTCAGACTCATTCAATTTCCACTCAGCCAAGGTTGAGAGAAATGTGAGCAATAATCAAATCATGAGAGAAGAGGACCAAAACACATTTTCCTAAGTAACTTTTCTATTTCTTGTATATCCTTGGATCAACTGGCCATTTTTAGGATTCTGGTATGTAAATAAATGGCTTTCAAAGTCAAGCATCACAATCTTTGTGATAAGATACCAAGATCTTTTGAATTCATAATAACCATTTTTTAACCCTTACTATGGAAAAATATGTAATTCCCCCCTCTCCCCCCAAAAAATATCGATTCCCACTCAATCCAATTATAACAAAGCCAAAAACTCACAAAAAAATCAATCTCAATCCATACGTGCAAATTTAAATGCACATATTTTTTTGAAGATTTTTCTTTTTCCTTAAAAAGAAAACAAAAATCGATCATCAAAGAAGATTCCTCAAGACCTATGAAATGAAAAAAAGGAATTTATAAAACTTCTTTTTAATTCAAAACTTGGAATTTTAATATACGAATAAAACAATTCATAAGATTTTCTATAGATATACGAAATATTTAACTCATTCCAACAAACAAACAAACAAACAAACAAAAAAATCAACCCAAAAAAAAACCATATATAATATTCACAAAACCAAACCAACCAAAAAATCCCCAAAAAGAAGTTCATACCTATACCCCCTCATCTCACCCAAAACAAAAAGAAAATTACATAAATATATATCTATATTAATGAATTTAGAAATCTTTAATCTGATGATCCAACAAGGCTTTTCTTTTTAATCAAACAAAGTTTTGAAAACTTATTCAATCCACCATCTTGAAGATCATCAAACACTTTCACAAATGGAATCCAAATCAATCTACTCAACCAATTCGATCTTGGATTATCTAAAATCTTTTCACATTTACAAATTTCTCCCCATTCTTTTGATTCTTGTTTTAAAATCTCATCATTCAATAATGTAATCACATAATCACATTTTTCTACATCAACCTATTTTTTTCACAAAAACCCAACACTCATTCAGTAAACAAGAAAAAAAAGTTGATAAGATCATAAGATCAAAGCACTTACTAATCGATCAGATTCAGGTAAGTTCAACGAATTAAATGAACTACCATTCATCCTAGTTCCAAGCCAAGGCCAAAACCGATCCAAAGCCATCTCATCCTGTGACAGTTTAATCTTCTTAAGCTGTTCATCTTCATCATTCAAAAATCTACCAGGTAATTGTCCTTTAAACCCACCATCAATAAACTTCACATCAATCTCATTAGGTATCAAGAACCGATTAGGAAACCTATACCATTCAGAACCTAAACAAACATTCAATCTTTCGTTTTTCAAGACACTTAGATCTACAGTCTCTTCTGCAAATTCTAATGCTTCTAAGATCGGTAAGGATGTATTTAATTTTAAATTTTGATAAAATGATGGGTAACTTTGAATGGCTCGAACAGGTAATTCATTGTATTGGAAATGAAAGACTATATCTAATGGTGTATGATAGTATCTTTGAATCGCAAAGATTCGTGCGGCTGAGATGAAGATGGTAATAGCTAGGATCGAACGTGTGAATAGACCAAAGAGACTTGTTCGACCAGCCTATAAGATTAAGTATAAGTAATGTTATCAATTTTTCATATTTTACTAAAGTTTTTATAAGTAGGGGAAACTTACGCGGTAGGGAGATGCAGTAGCTTTGACAAAAGCGTCTTCAAACCAACCTCTGACAAGTGAAAGAGTAACAGCAGCATTAAATGAAATCAAAGTATAAATCGGATACATAAATCTTTCTTCTTTATGAGGTTGTTGACTCAGGATTGCAATCCAAATGTAAACAGGTGCAAGACGGATCAGTAATAAATCAGAAGCCGTGGATTGATGTGCATGTCTAAGACGTGTTCCAAGTCTAAGTCCAACGGTAGGTGAAAACGTTTTCGTGAGCCAAAGACAAGGTAGAGATACAAGAGCAAGGATTGAGACGATGTTGAAGTTGAGACCAAGACTGAGGAAGTAATAATACCAAGGCTCGACACCATAGAGTTCAGGACCACTACCTTGAGTCGGAAAGACATTATAAAGGATAATCTTGAGAGGTACGAAGACGAGTTGACCATAAGCGAGAGAATCGATGAGAAAGACCGGTAGAGCAATCAGAACAAGTGCCATGATTCCAGAGTTAAAAAGTCTCTGAAATCTACGCATCGCCCATACTGGACGAGAAGCCGGCATGATTTCATCTTCACCTGACATACTGAGTTCTTCAAATACAAAAGGTAAAGCCAAGACTCCTACAAATGGCCAACCAAGGATCACAGCTGTAGCCAAACAGAAGACTGCATTGAATGTACGTTTTGAAGCTTCGGGTTTCGAACTGACTGGTTCAAGAATATAAGAGTATGCTAAAGTGATTGCATGTAAAGCAAAAGTCGAAGGTAAGAAAGCTATCAGAAAGGAAGAAAAAAGTGATTTTTAATTAGCTTTGTTGAAGAAAACAAAAACGAAAGTAAGAAAACCCAAACCAGTCGAAGCATTCCACATTCCAGCACTAAAGAGTGAGATTGCCAAGAAATAACGAGCAGCTCTAAGATTGATATGATCAGCAATAGCTCGATATAATTTAGCTTCACAATAAGACGAGATCAAAGCAAAAGCAGCTCTGATAGCAAAGAATCCAGGTCGCTAAGAAGAATCATATATTCAAATAAGTCATGATTCCTTGATGATCTACAGTTCAAGAAGAAGAAGAAGAACATACTTTATCCAAAGTGAAAACTTTACTTGCAATCCAAGCAGGAAAAGTATGAATCAAAATATAAGCCCAAGACCTGATCGAGAATTGAGGAGAATATTCCCAAGTTTGAAAACCATGACCATGAATCAAATAATGAAGTGGTTCCCAATAATTATAAGCTAAAAGATGTTCAAATAAAAGGATCGTAAGTATTTTAGATGGATTTTGAAAATCAAAAAGTCAGTGATCAAGATTGATTAAATGGTTTTCAAAACTTACTTTCATCACAATCTGAGATTGCAGTATACATTGCACCACAAAATCTAATCAAAATCAATAATCTAAAAGCAACGGAAAGACCCGGAACCCATGGTAATCTTGTACTATTGATTCAATCCAACCCGCCTCCGCCGATCAATTAGTGATGTGACAAGGATTCAAGTTGAAGAAGAATTGATGACTCACCGATTAAGTTGTTCACGTATCAAAGTATCTTTTATAACTTTCTTTCCAGCCCCAGTCTTTAATTTTTCACTTGCATTTGCAGCATCAGAAGAAGCTGTAGTCGGACCTCTAAACCTTAGAGATTGAGTTCCAGGCGCGTTTGGAAACATGGTGTTTTTGAAACGACCAAGCTTTTGGTTCGATTTGATTTGATTTGATTGGAGTTCGAGATATGTGTGAGAGGAGAAGAGAAGTTGAGAGTTGAAAGGGAGAAAGCTGAAGGTTTTATATCATTTTGTATCAGACTCCAGAGACACACTCATTTCGATCAACAAGTGAAGTTCAGTTTACATGCATGACAATTTACAACATGTAACATTACACTAACACCAATTACACATCACACGGATCTGTTTGAGGATTCATCCTTGAACTTCAACCAAATTGATCATCACATTCAACTCTTCTTCACTTCACAAATTGTTGATCTTATCTTACAAACAATCTCAATCCATCAATAACAAGGCCTTGGCATAACATTCATCAACGGTTCTGGCCGCACAAGAGGAACAACAGAGAGCAGTGATCATTGAAGTTACATACTGCATTGGTGAGCGGGTCAAGACGGTTTCCTTCACCTTTTCATACATTTACCCACTCAGTTGAACTTCAGGTCAACTGTCGAGTTTTTTCTATTTGAAACTTCCAACTCATGCTATGATACTGAATTAATCTTATAAGACTGTTTGTTTTTGTAAATAGTCAATCACGCAATTGTGAATCCCAAAAGAAACAATAACTTCAGTAAACAATAATGTTGTTTTGGTATGATCTTCAACCGAGAACACTTCAATGAGTTTTGCAAAAAAGAAAGCAAAAGAAGAATCACAAAATAATCATAAGTTGAAACCTCTTTAGAAAACCAACAAAAAAACACAAAATTTCAAAGAAAAAAAGAAAATAGGAAGAAAAAAAAGATTCGCGATCGAAACAAACAAACATTCATTGATTCATTTATTGATTCATCTGGACGATTTCTTTTCTCTTCTAATCTTTCGTTTCTTTCCAATAATCGATTTAATCCTCTCATCCTTCAATCCATCTTTCTCCAACATCTTCATCTTTTCCAACCCCTTGACTTTATCTACTTTTCCTTTCTTACCTTTTTGATCTTTTCCATCTGATTTCTTTTGTTTCTTATTGGATCCTAATCTTTCCTGATTTTTTTCCTAATACATTCACCCAAAAAAAAAGAACAATTAGAATTCAAAAAGTTTAGAATAACGGTTTTAATGAAGTGAGAATCAATCCACTTACTTCTCCTGAACCAGTAGTGATCAATAATTTGTTTTTTTGTCTTTCGATAAGTTTTTCACTACGTTCGATTCTTTTCTTAACAGTTTGAGCATTTTCAATAGCTATAGATAAAAAATTCCACCAACAAAAGAATCAAAACCATCAAACCCAACGAAAAAAACCCATCAATTTTCTTTTGCAAACTCACCAAATTCGACCATCAATAACTTAGTCGATCGTTTCCCATTCTCCAAAACCTTCTTAATCTCTTCCACCTTTTTCACTCTGTTCTCTTTCTCCTTCACATCTTCATCTAAACCCGACTTCTTTCGATCGGCTTCACCTTCTAATTCTTCAAGTCTCCAAACCTTCAACAATCCATCAATCTTAATCAAATTCTCATTCACATATCTCACAATCCTTAATGCATCTGAATGTGAAAAGACTTCAATGAATCCATATCCTTTACTTTTACCTTTGTTATCCGGATCAATAATCACTTTAACTTGTTTAATCTTACTAGCCTTTTCATCTTTCTTTTCTAAACTCTTCGGTTCTAGTTCTTCACCACTTAATTCTTCTCGTCTTTTCATCTTCACTTCTGTTCTCCATTCGTTCAATGCATATCTCGCTAATCGCTTTAAACTTCGATTCGAAACATAAGTGGGGATTTGTCGAATCGAAAGTCGGGTTTTGGAGATGTATAATGATAAGTTCGTTCGTAAGAGTGATTTTCGTTCATCAAATGAAGCTTGTCTTGCTTTCAAATCCATCGGATCAAATTGATCAGACTGAGAAGTAGTACTAGGTAAAACCACTAAAAAGCAAAAAAAGTTATGGCAAAAACAAGAAAAAAGTGAATTCCAAGATTTTCAAAAAATTCAGTTAATCGATTCAAAATCCCTTTTTTTTTAAAAAAAAAGAGAGAGATGAATCAAAACTGACATCCTTCTTTCATTAAATATAAATTTCGTTTATCTTTTCCCACTCCTTTTTGATCACGTTCGATTCTCAATCTCTCAGCTTCATTTTTGGTAACCGCTTCAGAAACACCTAAAACTCTACCATGTAAACTTAATTGAGTGGCTAAACCAGAAGAAGGATCAGGTTGAAGTAAAGAAGGTAATCCATTAGCTGCCAATGGCTTTAAAAACAAACATAATTTCAGAAAATCCATCAGTTCATCAATACAAGAATTTAGGGGGTTTGAAAGATCAAGCAAAAAATAACTCACTCCTTGACCTAATCCTTGATGTTCTAATCCTTTTGAGATTTCTAAAACTTTAAATCCATCAACTTGATTCTTCATACAAACAAATCCTGTTCCACGAGATCTTTGAGTTTTAGAATCCATGACGATTCTAGCATAATTCAAGGGTCCGAACGATCGAAAGATGTTATACAATTCATCTTCGGTAGCTTCGAATGATAAGTTTCTTATAAATAAAGTGATGCCTTCTTGGCTGGTGGAAGGTTTGGGTGGGTCTTTGTTGGAATCTTTTTCTGAGGAATCGTCTGCTTCGGATTCTGAGTTTTCGTCTTCATCTTCGTCCTCATCATCTTCATCTTCATCATCTTCATCCTCTTCGTCATCCTCTTCGTCATCTTCGTCCTCTGTTCCATCATCAGCTTCATCTTCTTCTACATCTTTAGCTTCTTTTTCCTCAGCTTCGACAAACTCTTTTTTCCCTAAAGCCCAATCCACAGCAATCACCCTACCAACCGGCTTAGGCTTACCTTCTTCTTTTTCCCTTTTCCTCTTCAAAGATTTCTTTTCACCCTCTGTTTCATTACGAATCAATTCTTGAACGATCCCAGACGAAAGGGTTTGACCATTCAAAGCTTTCATAGCATTTTCCGCATCTATATAATTTACCATCCAAACAAATCCGAATCCTTTGGTTTTTTGATGAATTGGATCTTTAGGTAATTCGATCGATTGAATTTGACCAAACTTTCCAAACGTATATCTTAGATCATCTTCAGTGATTTCAAAACTCAAGTTTCTAATGATCAATCTACCACCTGAATGTTTAGGTCCTAATCTTGAATTCGACATGAATCTAGACTTTAAACAAGTGGTGATCAAAGATCCTTTAAAGAGATGTAAATGTAATCTTTGACAAACTCTAGAAGCCATCGTTGGATCATAAAAGGTTAGATGTGCATAAGCCGTACTAGGAATTTGTGAGGTTTTCGTGAAGGGTAAGGGAGCAGGATAGATGACGGATTCAGGTTGACCTAGTTTTCGTGCTCGTTTGTAGAGCGCTTTGATCATGGATTGTTCATAGGCTTGGGTTTCTTTGGGTGAGTTTGTGGGCGGTAAAGGAAGACCTTGGAGAACTACTGTTCGGTTTGCTGTAGGATCTCTTTTGTAACTTGTTTGGGGTTGGTGATTTGGTTTAGGATTAGATGGTAGATTAAGATCGATTGGATTTGAGGAATGACTAGGATCATGTCGGGTTTCTGTTTGTTGAATTTGATTTTCTTTAGGTTTCTTGAATGGTTCTGTTGAAGTCTGTTGAATTTGATTTTCTTGAGGTTTCTTGAATGTTTCTGTTAAAGTGTCTTGAATTGGGGTTTCATTTGATTCGAGTTGATCAGGATTAGAATCTTCATTGATGATTAAATTCTGACGACGTTCTTTCATCGATGGTCTTGGTTTTGCCCAAGTGATTGAAGGTTTAAAAGAAGATGAATCGAAACCAAGTTTGATAGCATTTTCGGCGTCAGATCTAAGTACATATCTAATATAACCTATTTGATGATCTTTTGATTGATTAGATTGAAGATTAGAAGGTGATTTTGATTTGACTATGAAAGCTTTTCGAACTGGTCCGATTGAAGAAGCTAGTTTTGTTAGATCTTCAGATGTTAGATTAGATGGTAATTTTGAGATGAAGAGAGTGGTGGTGGTGTTGAGATTGTTTTGATCTGTGTTTGAGTGGTTCATTTTGGATTGAGAGTGTTTAGTAGTTTTGTAAGATTGAGAATGATGAAGTTGTTCAAGATTGATGAATTGAAAAGTTTAAATTAGGCTGAGTGATGGTTGAAGTCTGTATAAAGCCATGTTTACAGATCTCAGATGGGTTTACATGAGAGAGAGTTCTTTGAAGTTTTTTGGTTCTGCTGGCATTGATCAAGTCAAGAATTGTAAGATGATCGAATCTAATCAAATCAGTTTACCAACACCATCACCATCAGGAAGATCAGTTGAAGAAATTGAAAATGTAAATTTATTTCAAAAGGTAAGCTTGACTTTCTAATCAACACAGCATTATCATCATCATCATCATCATCAGACTGATCTGATCTGAATTAATCATCAATAGATCAAACCCAATACGATCTCAATCTTTAAAGAAATCTTAGTAATCCAAAATCAATCACATTCAACTTCATCATCACTTCATCAATCCTTAGTCAACTTGAATCAAATCATCATCAATCATCCATCATCTTTCAATCCAACTCTGACTCATTATACAATCTATCCAATTCAACATTTATTAAAGATCACTACTACTACTAGCCAACCATTACCATCTTCATCATTATCATTATCATTAAATATCATTCAACATCTCTTATCAAACACTTCTCATCAATCTACTAAATCATTTGCTCTAATCGAACAAGAATCTCTCATCTTGGAATCTCTTTTGACCATTCTCAGTTTAGATTCAATTGAAGATTCATCTTTGTTGATCATCGAAAGTAGTGAATTCATCTTAAGCCAGTATGATCAGTTACCAATCCGATTCATCAAACCAATCTTCAAATCGATCATTGATCTCTTCCCAATCTTATCTAATCCAACTCATTCTTTCAGTTCGGTTCGATTGATTGAATTCATTCGATTCGTTTTACTTAAACTTTCGATTTCTCAAGTTGATCCGATCAGATTAATCACCACTCTCTTACCTAAATCAGCTTCTCATCTCGTCAAACTCGTCATCTCTTTCTCTTCACAATCTGCTTCTTCTAAATTGGTCATCCAATCCATCGATTTACTTGAATGGCTGATTTTGTTTTGTTTAGATGAACACTTGAATGATATTGGCTTACTGATCAACTCACTTAAATCATCAAGTCAAACAGATCAAGACCTTCTGACAATTTCGAAACCCACTCAAATCGATCCTCAACCTTCACAAGTCTTGATCACTCGGGATCTTCAATGGCTTCAAACTACCATCTCAAATCTAATCAGCTTACTTCAACTTCTTTCAAGTTCCTTAACCTATCATCCAAACCCTCAAATTCGTCAATCATGGACTAAACTCTGTACAACTCTTCTCCAAAAAATTCCTAATCTATTAACCCCTGGATCGTCTACTATTCTTCAAAACCTTTCTGTCAGTTTAATCTTGAATCAAAATGAAGAATTACCATTAGATCAGAATCTCTTGGAATCTTATCCGATCGAATTTGGAAAAGGAGCTATAGAACTTATTCGAAAAGATTTCAAATCGGTTTTGAAGTTTTTGGTTTATAGAGTTAAAGATGAAGATGAAGTTTTGATTTATTATTGTCAATCGATCTTCAATGCAACCGAAACTTTATGGATCATGCTACAAGAAAATCATTTGATTCATCATCAAAGTGTTTTAGATGAGATTTTAGAAGATTTTGAGTTGATCAAACTTTTTAAACAATCACTTCAATCCATTGAACTGGTGATGTCTTCAATGATCTCTTTGGATTCTAGAAACCTAAACTTGATTCGGTTTAAACATCTTACTACTAATTCGAAAGTCATGGAAGCGATCCAAAAGATGATTCAAAGCTTTGGAAGAGGTTTATGTTGGATTGAGAATGGTAGATTAGAACTTTATGTTTATGAATACTTTTTTGAAGTGATCTTGATGAATGAACCAAATCAATCCATTGAAAGTTTAAATTCGATTTGGATTTTAAATCAATTGATGATGGGTACGACGAGTTGTATGAAAGAAAATCATCAAGCAAGAAAGAAACATCAAATACGAATGGAAAGGTTTTTGAAAAGTGTGGTGTTTCGATTGATAGATGAATTTGAACAACCTGATGAATCTAAACCAACATCAATCAATCGTCACCAAACTCAAGAAGACATTGTAAAAAAAGAAGTAGAAGTAGAAAGGATAGTAAGTTATCAAAAAGGGATGAATTCATTACCTTCACTTGAGAAACTACGTCCGATGATCTTATCTAATGAAAATGAGATGCAAGAAACCCAAAAAGTCTTGAGGATTTCATTATTACTTAATTTGTTTAGTACCATCTCGACTAAACTCAACACATCCTTTCAACCGGTTCTTTCGATTCTACTTTATCCGATTCTAAGGTACATTGATCATCCGATTCTTTCAAGCCAACTGAAGATCGTCTTAGATCAGATCTCATATGAAACGAGTTATGGGAATCTTCAGAATATGATTGCGGATCATCTAGATTATCTTGTGGATTCGATTTCTTCAAGACTTTCGACCAATCGAATCTTACCTGATCTAAAGGCTGTAACGGTGATGGGTAGTTTGATTGAATGGGTAGGAGTGAAGGAATCTTTTGGGATTCTTGGAGAAGGCTTGGTGCAGGAGATTGGAGAGGCGTTGAGAGATTTTCATTGGGTTGAGGGGTTCTTGGAGGGTGTTTTGGATGGGTATTTGAGAGTATTGGGAATGGTTGGGAGGGTTGTTTTGGATGAAGATCGGGAGAATCGAAGGTTGCAAAAAGAACAGGAAAAGGAAAAAGAGGAGGAAGAGGATGGGGATCATGGGTTAGGATTGTTTGTGCAGTTGGAGAAGCAGAGGAGAAGGTTTTTAGAATTGATTGTGTTTAGGAATGATGAGGATGAAGTTGAAGAAGAAAAGCATGAAAAAGATGAGTTGGATAGGTTTAAGGCTTGGTATGAGTTACGAGAAAAAGTGGCGAAGTTTAATGAAAGAGAAGAAGTTGAAGAAGAAAAGATGAAACGAAATCCTAGGACAGCTTTTCATAGAGAAGTTCAAGAAGAAGAAGTTAAAGAAGTTAAAGAAGAAGAAGTTAAAGACAAACCAATTGGATTATACGAAAGAGTTAGCATCTTAATCGTTTCCCAAACTTTACCATTCCTATCACATTCGTCTAATCAAATCCGAAAAAAAGTTCAAGAGATTTTAAAGATTTGTTTGGAAACCAAATTACTTGTCACTGAATCTGAAGTGATTCCATTATTGAATTTGTTTAAATCATTGATTGAAAGGAATGTAGAGATCAAACCGGTTTTGAAGGATCATGATCGGTTTGGAATGTTTTTTTGGAAATCGGAAAAAGAGTTTTTGGGATTGGAAAGAAGGGTTTGGGATGGGTTTGAGGATCTGAAGAAGATGAATCAAGAGGTAGAGGTCGAGGTGGGGTTCGAGTTGAATTATCAGCTTTGGAAAATGATTAGAGATGGTCATGATCCTTTGGGAATGGGAATCGGAAGGGAAGTTGAGAAAACTTGATGAAATGTTTTTTTGAACTTTGATTGGACGGTTTTGTTTGGTATATACCTATTGGAAAGAAATGGGTTTGGTCTTTTTTTGGGGGTTTGATTTGTTTAGTATTTTATGTGTGTAAATTAGTATAGATATTGAAATTTGATTTAATGGACTTTTTTTGTTGATTGAGAGTTGACAAAATGTCTCATTAACCAGTCAGCTTTTTTTGATTGGTTTTCCTTTACTTGTTTCCTTACCAAGCCTTTTTGTACTTGGTTCTCTGACACCAGATTATCGATGGGTAGGAGCTTTTTTTTGTAATCCTATCCTTGAAACCTTTTTTTGGAACTTATTAGCTTTGATTGATCCATGTACCTTTACCATGGCGCAGCTCAAGGAATCTGCTGTTTTTTTTGATACTAGTTGAATTCTGAGAACATTTGTGGGATACAAAGTTAAAACTGGGATTTTTTTCCCAGTTTCCCAGTTTTTGTTTTTGGCTATGTTTGGAACTTTCCCATGTTCTCCCAGTTTCTCAGTTTGTGTTTTTGGTGGTATTTGGGAAACTGGGAAACTGGGAAAAAAAACTCCCAGTTTTAACTTTGTATCCCCTAATATTAAGCAGACAAGTGATTTAAACAAAAGATTTAATTCACATTGGTTTGTTGAAAAAAATCTCAAAGAATCTCGGAAAGAAACTCTCATTACTGATCATGAAATATGTACCACTTCCTTTGCCCTGCTTCCTTAAATCTCTGGTTTGCTCTGTGGTTCTGGTATTTTTGAAAGTTGGTCATTGGAATGGATCATTATAAATAAGTTTGAAGATTCTAACTAAGAACCTGCTTAATTTTGATGATTCTATTACAGAATCTTCTTACTGAAAGTTTTATAAGGTCCCTCACACCATGGGAATCATTAAGTGTGAAACCTGATTGAGCAAAGTTGCAGTGACTGGGTCTGTCTGTGACTTTTGCCAATCACGGATCTTGTTTGCCATAGGTTTGCTAGCTTGCATCAAGCTGCCCTTGTGTTGTCCACTTGGGCTGAGCTGAGTATGTTAACTTTATGTATGTACCTCAGTCCATCTCATAACAGTATGCCCAAGAAATCATAGACTAGTCACCTTCAAAGGGGTCAATCAACAAGTTCCTCATCAAACAACAAATTAGGTCTTGAATCCAATAAGCTCCAAAAGAAAAAAGAGTCCAAGTCAAAATTGACTTTACACCACAAAGGTGAATTGCAAGTCACATTCTAAAAAGTCTTGCATCAAAGTGAAGGTTATACCCAATTGATCAGTGACAGCATCACCTTGAGAATCCAGACAAAAAGCAAGATCAAAAATCTCACTGTGAGTTTGTTGCTATAGGGCAGCTCGAGGCGAGCTAGCAAACCTTATGGTAAACAAGATTTGTAATTGAATTTGAAGAAAGTTGAGGAGCTGGTCAATGCAAGTCTGCTCAATTGGGTTTCACACTGGACAAATTCCTGTGGTGTCACACTTTATTTACTGAGTTTTTTTGAAGACTCTTATAACTCATGATAATTTACTGAAGATTTCATTACTAAACTTTGAATGAATTGATTCTCAAGAATCTAACTATCTTCTTACTTAACTTTATGTTTCTTTTGTATGTAAACCAAATTATTGGTTTTGATTTTGGATGAATACATACAAATCTTCTTTTGCTTTTTATTCAATTATATACAGAACCATACTATGTATCAGTGCCACCACAAGATTTCTGTTTCTCATTACCTAATAAAATCATCTTCATATTTAACAAAAAACCTTTGATCATGTTCCTTTATCTGATCACTTTGGTTTTAATATACTTTGTTGTAGTAAGTTATAAAAAAACAATCACCATTGAAGGTCTTTGAGCAAGACAAGATGATCATTAAGGTTACACAGTTTCCAACATAAAAAGGAACATTTCATCATTGTGAGAAGACTACACTACAATGAACATTTAAGTTATCTACAAGTCATAATGTGCATTCAATAATTATGTAATATGATTTAAATCTTGGCCTAAGATTCAAGGTGTGAGTTTGGGTGTGAAAGCTTTATTTTATATGTACTAATCATGATTTCTGATACCAGGTTGATACTTATACTGATCACAACATCTGAAACCAAGATAATAGAGATGTAAAGTATCTCTCAACATAAGTCTCTTTGGGAATAATCCTTACAACAGTATTGCTAGTAATTGATACTATTTTGTGAACTGTTGCACTTAACAAACTGGAATAATACTTGTTGAAAGTATCAAGAACATTTCTTGGGTGCCTTTATCTTATTCTCTGTTATCACAAAGTGGTCAGCAAGTGGCCTTGTGCTGGTTTATTTGATGAAGGCATTCTTTAGGCAACTTCTACCATTCTTACATGAGTAGATTATCCCTTCTTAGGTGTTGTAAAGCACTTGTTGAGCTTTAAATACTGAAATCTTATAATCATTTCTTTCTCCCTTCCACAACTTTCTTTGAGAGAACCCTGGAGGCACGACATGGTTCGAAAGCCCAGGGGGACTTAGTGTAGCTGAGGGTAAGCCCTGAGTGGTTTGAGTAGGCGGGCCGCGCCTTGAGGATTGGAGGAAAATTTCCTGCAAAAATTTTTCCACCGCCATCAAACTCACTCGTAACCCGCAAGCTCAAATTGATCGTTCATCAATTTAGTCAACTAAGTCTCTCGTTACAATTTCCATTGTTAAAAAGAATTTTAAAAGTCTCAACTCAAGAACAATCCAAGTTAGAAGAGAAAGATAGATTGGATTCAAAACTAGAGTTACAAGTTCAAGCAAGAAGAGATGGACAAATCGATGGGCGAGAGGCTAGCAAGAGCGGAAGCAAGCTTGGAGAGGGTGACTCGAGCAATGAAGACGGCGGCGGGTACAACAACGGCGACAGGTGGACCCAGTGGGACGACCGACCAGACTGACGTCCCTCCATCAACGAACAATCAGGTCTCCATCATCCCTGCAGGAGCGCAGACGGGCACACAGGAGCCAGGTGCACAAGTGTCACAAGCGGGTGTTCCGGCGATTGCACCACCAGCCAAGCAGCCTGCTCTCGAGGTTGAAGGTGAAGAGGAAGACCTGGACGGGGTAGCCATTCTGGAGCTAGACCTCAGATCTGAAACCGAAGATAGCACATGGCAACCTCAGGACCACATCAACAAAGGGAAGGGGAGACGGGACGAGGGTGAGAGTACGGATAGAGAAGAGGAGAACATGAGTAAGTGAACCTTTTTTACGTTACCTTCCTGCCTTTTTTCCTTTCCCTACACTCTTTGTCTTGGCTGCACTGCTCCTCTTCTGTTTCTTGTCCGACATGTGCAAGGAACTAGCTTCAAACGCAAAGGTCCACGTATTGACAAATTGTCAAAACGCATCAGCAAAACAGGAAGGCAGGATATCAGCCTGATACGAGTGGCAGTACCATTAAGTCCACGTAAGACCCTGTCGAGTGACAAGGGCGAGCTGTCCCGGCTGCTAACAGGTGTTGCTCCGAGGCGTGTGTAGCCAGGAGCGTGTTTTTTGCTGGAGGCGTGTGCTGCCGAGAGTGGTTTTTGCCGGAGGCGTGTGCTGCCAAGAGCGTTATTTCCCCCAAGATTTGACAGTTTGAGGAAGTGCCGATGCTGATAACGTGGTGTTGACTTCATCAACTGTAACAGCTCACGGTGACTGGATTTTGATGCTACAAGCGCGGATCGACCATGCTTATGTATCACAGAACTACATACTGGGTGCATCTCTATTAGCAGAATTGGCAGAATTGAGCGCTACCGAGCCAACCAGTAACTACGCCCCCAGCGTCCAAGACCCAGCACCTGCTCGTCAACAACGACCTAGAGTTAGTCCACACCGGTTGATACAGGAGAACCTCTCTGAGTTTTCACTGGGTGCCGGAATTCGAGAAAGAGAGCTTACACGACCGGTTGAGCCTAGGGCGGCTGAGAGAGTGGCCTCAAGACATAATCAGGCCGAGCCCTCTAGGTCTGAACCGCCAATCGGCTGGAGGTACAACCAAGAACGTCGCACTCGCTCACCATCATCTGTTGCCGACGCCACCCGATTGAGAGAGCCGGCAGCTGTACCACCCACGGACAACGACGAAGCTTCGAGAGCGAGAGTCATGTTAGAGTCCGGCAAAGGTCGAATGGTATTGGAGAACGGAGATGTGATCGAGAATGGACGCCTCATGTTGAAAGATTCCTCAAAGCAGCTCGAAAAGTCACTGCCATCCTTGAGCCCAGTACTCGCTCACTACCTCCGCACCTTCAAAGCTTACGTTCCACTACCCGTGTTTGACAAACTCTGGCTCATCCGGGACCAACAAGCTCAAGGAGGGGCAGAACCGCCTTCGGAGTCCAAGCTGAATAAGGGTGGATCGAACCTACGTATGTATGGAGGAGACCCACCGATGGAGGAGCTCACAATGCAATATGAGCAGTGGCTGGATTGCTTCACGCTGTTCTCGAAATACATACACGAGGCGGGTTGGGTCACGTTGTCTGAGAATCTCAAGGTTCACAAAGAGATTGTGGTGGAGCTAAGGGACTCGATGGGCTGGATGGTGGCACTGCGGTACTGCAAGAGAGTCAGGGAAGGTGTAATGAGGACGACGGTCGGAAGCGAGATTGTGAATGTCTCCGAGGTGCAGAGAACAATCTTGGAAGAAGTAAAGCTCGTATGTGACACGTTCGGAGATAGGGCATTCAAGTCAAACCCGTATGCGCCTGGAGGGGTGAAGGATCACATGGACCCAGAGACAGGCCTACGGAAGGCAACATCAGCCAGCGGAACGACTAAGAAGGCCTACTCGGCGACGGTCAAGGTGGAGGAAGGGTCTTCTACGAGTAAGAGGAGATCTTGGCTACCTCCGGACCAATGGGAGGCCAAGTTAAAGGCTGAAGGGAAGTGGGTCGATAAGAAGGAGCAAAGAGGTGGGAAACGAGAGTATAATGACAGAAGTAGAGGAGAAGATAGGCGTGACACCAAGTGGCGTCGTAGTCGTAGCCGGAGTCCGAACCGTTATGAGAACAGGAGATCTACCGGGAAAGGCGGACGTTCGAAATACTAGTGAGTATAAAGATGGTGTTTGAGCAATAGTTGTCACAAAAATGACAAGATTGAAAAACAAATTAGTGATCATTGTTCAATCAGATCCTGTGCAACAATCAAACATTTTCCGCCTTACCAATGAGATCCTGAATCCTGACTGCTGTTTCCTGAACCCTTCTTAGCCAATGCCCCAATCCTGCCGCACCAACCCATGGTTTCTACATACCATTGGGACACAGAGAGCAGCGGGTCAAGTCCCTAGAAATAAAACTCAAACCAAAGAGGTGGCCCACAGGCGTGACGTGTGAGATGCATCTGGACGTATGGAGGCGCGAGATGAGAAACGCGGGCATACTTGAGTCGCACAGCTTTATCCTAGACGGATTCACGAACGGGTTCAACCAAGGGATCCCGGAGAGACCTATACAACACAAGAGGTACTTCTGCCCCGATAACCATGAGTCAGTGAAAAGCGCTGAAGACGAAGTGAGAAAGAACTTAGCTGAAGAATTGGCAGCCGGGAGGATGTAGAGTTTGGTTCAAGGGAACCAAACTTGTAGGCCTGGCTGCGCCACTGCCCCAAACGAACTGCCTTGACTTCGAGGTAAGGGCAGTTCAAACTGGGAGGGAAACACTTGAGGGTTCACGTAGACTCCTTGAGTCTACTTACACATTCTCCTCAGGGTGTGATTCAGCCTAACTCACTGAGGACTGGGTTTCCTTCTATTTACTGATCTTTTTTCTTTCTTCCAGACTAAAAATGTTGTGAAGGACTTTCTCTGATGCCAAGGACACCCATTTCCATTGTTTGACATCATTGGTATCCTACTGGAGGGTCACAAAGCTACAGAAAAGTATCTTTAAGGTGTGATTGTCAATAAAACCAACCTACCTTTGACTTTGAGGAGCCCAATTGTCAGGAAAACTAAATTAACTTCACCTTTTATCAGCCCAATCATCAATAATACCAAAGAAGCTTCACATTTTATCAGCCAAGCCAAGGACCTTTATATCATGGATTTTCTTCTCCACCACCTGAATCTCATCCTTCCCCCAAATCACCTTCTTCTGACACATCTGAATCCATGGATGTTGCTTTCAAGCCCAAGGACAACTCAGATTCAGATGAAGCTCCAGCGGCAAAGCAACACCACAAACCTAAGGTGGCTTTAACTGCTTGTGCTCTGGTTCAATTGAAGAAACACTGATTCAAATACCTGCTGGAATTTCCACCAATATGAAGGAATTTGGCTCTGACATTCAATCTTCCTTTGCCTTGATTCAACTTCAGAATTGATTGACACTGCAGCTCAAAAGATTCAAGACAAAAAACCTTCAACCCGTGCTTCATCCGTTCCTTTAATTTACAATTCATTGCTTTAAAACACTCAACACTACATTGCTTTAGATTTATTTGCTGAAAAGCCTCTCATTGCTGAAACTTATGTCAATACACCAGCTGGTGAGCATGATGATTGGCTCCAATACATCCTCAACAAAAGAAGTAAGAACTGTGATTTTGTATCATTCATCCAATACACACTTACTGATTGTAACTATTCTTTTCATTATCTATCATTTACCTTCAATATTAACATTAAAATATCAAAGTTTTTGTTATCAACTCCAATTAAAATTATAGTGACCGTTGTAGAACTTATCTCCCAACAAAGGTTATACAGAGCGTGGAGAGGATAATCTACCAAAAAAAGAATAGTAGAAGATGTCTATGGACTGCTCTCCTAAAACAAGACAATCAGATAAGAGAACTCTGTTGTATTGAGTCCTAATAATTATTAAAAGGGAAAAGTAACTACTTTAATTCTCAAAAGACTAAAGGCCAGTTTTTTGGATGAAAAGCCCCATTCAATTAACTCTCAACACTTATAGTGGTATTCCAGACTGATAACTAAAGAAAAATAGTGCAATATCCTTTTGATATTATTCCCAATAGACTTTATAAGTCAAAACACTACAAGGCTAAAGGAAATTTCTCTTTATAACTATAATAAAGGGCATATTTAAGTGACCAGGTACTATTAAAAGAAGTTTATGATGATAAACAAAATGATAATGCTGTAAATGATAAAGAAAAAAGGGGAACAACCACACCCAAATCCTGTGATGAAAAAGTTCTTGAGTTGTAGAGATTGAGAAAATAAGCCTTTGTCATGTAAATGTTGCTTTACATGTGTATGTAAGTGATGTGGTGATCAATTGATGGGATCAATCAAAAAAATCAGTCATAGTAGTTTACCAAGGTTATCAGGAAAGTTCAGCAGGGAAGAAAACTCAAAATTGAAGGAATCTGATCAATAGAAGCTCTTTTAGGCTTATGTATTGCTCAATATGTCATTATTAGGTCATCTTATTTCAAACAACTTATTAATATCAGTATAAAGTCTTGTCAAATGAATTACAAAAAGAAAAGAGTGAAAAACATAAGAAAAACTCAAAAATATAGGTGTACAGGCTTAGAAATGGTTTTTAGAGTAGTCATATTAGGTTGATGGGTTTTGTGAGGTTAGAATATGAAACAAAAGCATTATATTATTCAATAAAAACTTTAATCTTGATGGTTGATAAGGAGAAACAGAAATTATTAAGCACATAGTACTTTTTTGAAGTTGGTAAACAAGGGTTTTGTGGGTAGTTTACATATGTAATGGTGGTATTAGTAGCTTTTAAGGTTGCCAAGAAGATTTTACGGGAATTTTAAGCTTACAATTGATGATGTAACATTACAGAAGCAAGAGAGGAGGAGCAACAGCTGTGTAAAGTGGTAAAAGTGAGTGGATTTTGTCAAAGATGGAGGTTTTCAGCTTATTACATATGTCAGACAATGTCAGAATTGGATGGTAGATGGCTCGTACAACACAGAAGAGGTGATTACATAATACACAACCTTTAAATTAACAGTAACAGATGTGTGTGAAGAAAGTTACAAGAGAAATAAGAAATTGGTGTGAACTTCAAATTTTACACTTACATGCATACATGTGACAACATTTACATACAAAGACCTCAACTTCACAACTCAATAACTCATACATTACTCATCAGCAGTACCCAATATGGCGCCAATTATTGATCAGTATCACGAGCTCTAAAAGATGCACTTTAATATTCAAAAAATTGACATCATTTGGAAAAATCCATAACTTCAAAAATAGGTTTTCAGCAAGTTTACAAGGAAAAACTCACCTGTATTCATCATAGGAAGTGCTGTAAATCATTCAATTACATCATTGATCACTTTTGGCTGTGTAAATTACATCATCTATTAGTAAGGGCATGTTCACTTAAGCAATTTCTGGTGAGAAATCACATTCTGCAAAATTTAAAGTGTCTATTTGGTGGTGCATGTTTCATTTTTGCATTAAAAAATTTACAGAATGTGATTTCTGGTCAGAAATTCTTTAAGTGAACGCGCCCTAAAAGACTCATTACATTGCATCATTATATGGCTTTTTGGGTTTTTTGAGGCCGTTGACCATTGTAAGAGTTGTAACACATATGTATATATAATCTAGAATGATTTTGGGATTTTTGTTCCCCTTTTTTCTTGATCATCTACGCAGTTATCATTCTGTTTATCATTATAAGCTTATTTTTGCAGTACCTGGTCACTTAAATACGCCCTTTATCATAGCTATAAAGAGAAATTTACTTTAGTGCTATAGTCAAAAAGACTTATTGGGAATAATATCAAAGATATATTGCTTTATTCTCTTAGTTATCATATTGGAATACAGTCCACTCCCTCTAAGTTGATATCCCTGTATGTGCATAATTCTCTATGTGCATAGGATTTTTTGCCGCCAAAAAGGTGTTCTCCACCCAAAATGGGGTCTACAGTCAACTCCCTCTAATTACATACAACTTGGCGGGTGGTTTTTTCATGCACTTGAAGGAATATGCACTTATAGACCTCATTTTGGCTGGAGAACCCCTTTTTGGCGGCAAAGAATCCTATGCACATAGAGAATTATGCACTTACAGGGATATCAACTTAGAGGGAGTGGACTGTATAAGTGCATATTCCTTCAAGTGCATGAAAAAACCACCCGCCAAGCTGTATGTAATTAGAGGGAGTTGACTCACTGCCAGCATTAAAGAGGTTCCCAGATGGGAATACGGGTCCTAGTGATCAGATTCCCATTCTGCTACTGTTACACAGTTCCATGAATATTTCCTGAGTAGCCGTTGTGATATATGTAGTCAATATTTTGAAATGTGTGTCTCAATCTGAACAAAGTTACAGCATGTATTACACATGATTTTCTTATCTAGATGAGCAGATAACTGAGCCGACCTGTATGTAGCTGATAGCTAAGGATTTACTCAGATGTTTGCACACATGTAGTGTATGCTTTATGGCTCAGATGTGCAGTGCAAGATGATTTGATTCTCCATTCTTCTCTCAATGATATTCCCAGCCTAGGTCACGTTCCGACCAGGGAACCTATTTAATGCTGGCAGTGACTGTATCATGATGTGACTACAACTATACATATCTGTAGACTACAACATGCAATATTCAACAAAGTCATTTCAAAACATCCAAGCACTTTCTTTGGAACGGCCCGCTCCAATATTTTTATCTCATGTTTCCTAGCTCCAATTATGTTTGTCCCTAGATCAAGTCAAACCAACCGTGTGCTAAGCCCGCCATGAAAATGAAACAAAATCCCATTCTGTGCATAACCCCTAAACCCCTAACCCATACTGCCAATATGAGGGCCCACTGGTCTCTCATATCACACGCCGCCCCTGGCAAGTCTGGCTCGCAGTGCAGAAAAAAACGCGCAGCGCGGCGGGGTGCAGCGTCCTGAGCTATTGCCTCCTTACCTGGGACTCACCGGATCCGGGTAGCTACGCCCTGCGCTGCCATTTTTGAGTCAGGATTTTTCCCGCCGCGCTTTTTGCTACTGTAGCACCCGGCGGTATGGTCACGCTACTTTCAAACTTTGGATTTGAGCAGCCTCCAATCTGACCACAAGCCCTCAAGCCACCAAACCATTGATCAACAATCAGACACCTTTCCACCACCAACCATCCAGTTCTATGGTGCTGAATATATACAATCATTCCTGACCTGTGGTTGTGGTGGACAGAGGGTCGACTCCGGGGTACACAGGTTTGCACCTTTCCTGTGTTTTTTATCCCTATCAGTTATCTATCTTGTCATTTTTTGACTGACCTTGGTCTTATCCTAAAATAATTTAGAAATTACTAAAACAAGCTCACATCAATCATCAACTAAAGACATGTTAAATCAAATTTATATCTTGGATTTCAAAACTTGGTCATAAGAGAATCCGTCAAGATAATAATAACAATGATCTTTCAATCAGACCTGCTTGTTCTTCATCAACATAAACATAGTAAACTTGAAAACCTCACAAAATCGAAATCGACTCAAAACAAAGAATCAAAATCATTATCACCTAAATCTAGAGATGGTCCTAATAATCCTTTTTCAGTGAAAGAAGATGAATCAGTTTGTCAAGCTAGTCCATTTCATAATGAGAAATCTCGTAAATTAGCTTACGTTTTGTAAATTCATTAATAAACCTTTCTTAAATCTTATAAAAACTATTCTTTAGTGACGTTTCTTGATTCTCTTTATTTTTTTGATTCTTTAGTCGTGGTAAGAAAATTCAATATCATCCAGGAGAAGATTTACATAATACTGGGGATTCACCTTTTACACTCTCGACCCCTAAACTACTTGTTCCAAATGATGATATTCCATCATAAATTAAATCTGAAACCAATTCAACAGAAGCTATAATCGATCCATTTCAAACACCTAAAAAGAATAGGAAACCTAATGATGATGAAGTAGTTGGACTACTTACAGCCCAACAGACTTGTCAGAAAAAAAACTGTAATGATCTTTTGGGTGGGAGGAATATTAAACAAGTTGATTTTAATGCTCTTTACCCTCTTTCAAATCAACTTATTTATGTTTTCTATACACTCATTCTGTTGTGGTAAAAAGGTACATTTAGGTCAAGTACATCACGTAGTTTTACAAACCGGGTAGGTACAGGTAGCTAAGTTGGATTTAGGAGTATTAATTCAAGGGATTCACTGGTGAAGACAAATTGGGAGAAATGTTAGAAGGGTTTTGGGTGTTTAGAAGAAGGAGAAGGAGTAGTGTAGCAGAATCCCAATTGGAGTGTGCTCTTCATAGAATCAGGTCTTTTGAACTAACCGAATCCGTACTTCCATTCTATTGATTTCTTTCATGTTTCCCTAACAATACTTGTGTGTGCGTTTTGTATTCTGCTTTGGGACAAGTTGTTAAAAATCTCTGCAGCGTGATTTGTCTCTTATACCTGCCTCTCTCTCAAACTTCAGTTCCCTCCCTCACCGAGTGGAAACTGAAGTTTATAGTGAGCACATTTTTTTTCTTTGTTTTCTCATACTTTCACTCTATGTGTCTTTCATCCTGGACCTCACTTACACTTTACGGTAGACTTCCTACCACTACTGTTCCCTGCTTGTTGCAGGTAAGGCGTCGACTTCTCCGCCATCTTTCATCTACCAAGAGTTCCCTTAGAGCTCATAATCTACCTGTTCTGTCCAGGTGAATAGTCCTTTCTTTCTTATCTTTTTCTCTTTATCTTTCTAAGATTTTATGCTTTAGATTACTTGAAATTATCACCGAGTGGAAACTGAAGTTTATAACTTCCTACCACTACTGTTCCCTGCTTGTTGCAGGTAAGGCGTCGACTTCTCCGCCATCTTTCATCTACCAAGAGTTCCCTTAGAGCTCATAATCTACCTGTTCTGTCCAGGTAAGGCGTTGACTTCTCCGCCATCTTTCATCTACCAAGAGTTCCCTTAGAGCTCATAATCTACCTGTTCTGTCCAGGTACCTACGCTCTCTGCGTTGACATTCAGTCCGCTAGTTCTCATTTCACATTCAAGTTTTTAACTCATTCACACTCGTTCAATTACAATTTTTTTTATTTACTTTGAAAAAAAAGCTTTTTTTGCTGGCAACGCTGCGAGGCGCTGCGGAAATAGAGTACGCTTTCAGCTACTATTTTTGTGCCCCAAATAATCTGAGCTACTGTTAACGCTACCACAGCCAACCGTGACTTTTGTCCACTACGCTGCCCATTTCAGCGGTTTCAGCGCTGGGTAGCGCTGCAAGCCAGCCTTGCCCCTGGTAGCCGCACATTGAATTGTGTGCGGCTACCTGTTGCAATCAACTAGAGCGCACAAATGATAATACATAAAGGGTGACATTTAGTATTTCATGATACAATCATTGCAAACATAAGAGAGACGTAAGAACAGAGAAAGCAAGAAAGAGAGACCTACCTAGAGCGCACAAATGATAATATGGAAAGGGTAAGGAAAATTCCCTTTCCTGGTGCAGCTCTAGGCAAGTTATATACAAGGTTCGTTATGTAACGTTTATGTAATAGATGATCATGAGAAAAAGGATAAACAACTAGGAGATCAAGGATCTGATAATCCAATGAGAAACCAAGAACAACAACCAAATGATAGGTGTGAGCTAGGATGGTAAGCACACTAACAATATCTATGGAATACAACGATGATATCATGGAATCTATGTGAGTATTCCAACACTACCAGCGGCGGCTTTTTTGCGCGCCTGCAAATTCACTGATGGGCCGCCTGTCAGTGGCCTTTATACAACCTCATTGCCGCTTTGTGGCTGTCCAACGGCTGTTGCAACAGGCGGTCGGCATACAGAATTGCCTAGGTCTACCCAGAGGCTGCACATCCCTCTGCAGGGATGGGCGGCCTTACAATGGCTGCTCCTGCCGGACCAAAGGCGGTCCAGACCCTCTGGTGGTGTAGGGTCATGGTCACTCAAAATGGAAGCTACTAAGGTGCCTAAGCAGGGATTTTAGGTACCTAGCCTATGCCTGGTCCCAAATGTTGACCATCAAGAGAGAAAAAAAATCAAAAAATGCCTCAGATGACCTTGAGAAGATATAGAAAGATTAAGTTCACTCATCTGATTCTACTCATGTAGTTATCTCCTTGAAACATTGGTATTGAAGTTTCTATTCTTGAGCTCAAAAACAAAATATGGTTTGGCATGTGAGATTGTAGTACAGAGCAGCCTTTAGCTACTGTACTACTACCAGTATAGTATAGTGGCACCCTTGCTATTTCCAGAGCTTTTCTCCCCCTTTTTTTAAAGTGCTTTTTGGCTTTATTGCATATAACACTATCTAAACTTACGGTACTCAAAGCAACTATGTACGCGTACATAGTTGCCGTACATAGTTTTTTTTTGGCGGGCGAAATACTTCGAATATACTTCTTTTGTTTTTTTCCCCGCCAAAAAAAACTATGTACGCAAACTATGTACGCGTACATATGTAGCTTTGAGTACCGCAACTATATTAAGACAGGATTAGTACACCTTATAAGAGCGGCCATCTAATTGAAATTCAGAAAAATAATTGACAATAAGAGTGAATGACATCTTTGGATCCAAGCTTATAGCTTTATCATATTGACGTTTATTAGATTTCCTCTTTTTTTTAAAAAAATCCATGTTTAGGCTTTTAGCCCACCCGCAGGAAAGCGATGGACCCCTATCACCCCAAAAAGGGGATTTCTCCCATAAGTAAGGGCAATTGGCAAGGGACTTAGTTAAGTCTGTGCCCGGATCTGGGTGATGAGGCCTCTAGAGACGGATAATGCAAAGACATCGGGTAGGATGCCGGGGTCCACCCAATTCGAGGTGTTTTATGCATGTCACTGATGTTCCGAAAGTTCAACCGAACCACCAATCCAAGAATGAATGAACCCGCATCAAATTCAAACTTATCAAACTCAATGCCTTCTACTTCTGAGCTTCCAATGGCTAGCCCTTCCTTGGTCTTTGATCCCGTCCACAACGCTGGTCGCCTATTATCTCATTTCAGCCATCTTGAAGATCTCCTCCGCCTCGTACGCCGGACTCGTCATGCGCTTCCAGCACTGGTACAGGAAGCTAACAATCTACCAAAATCTGGAGCTATCGAAAGTTGGAACTGCTTGAAACAAGAAAATCTGAAAAATGTACAGGACCTCAAGGAGGCGATCATGAACTCGCAGGGTGCGCCTGACTTACGTAATCTCATCCTAAGGTTCATTGCACATACTTTCCTGCCCAAATGTGCAGACTTGGTGCTTTCCGGAGTAAGAGACTGTTTTTGAACTTAATCCCCTGCCTCCGTCGTCGTTAGATGCCTTTCTTTTCGTTAGATCTAGCTCTCGGCTGGATGAAACCGACTTCAAAATCGATGATCAGATGCCTGATGAGACTGCAGCAGCTGTGGCGCACATGAAGAAATTGGCGCCTCGATCTCTTTTCCAAAAACATTCAGATGGCTCATCTGGACGCATAAGCGTCCCTTTTGCACTTCAAACCCTTCAACCCGGGTTCGAGGCCGCAATAAAGTTGATAAATGAGTCATACGGCTTGCAAGCGATCTCATGGCAAGAGCATATCACGCGACCTGGACGGACAAGTTGGGTAGAGGTCAAAGTTAGAGGCGTCTTACGAGCTTTGGTTACAGTGCGAGAATATCCTGACCCGAACAATGGCTCACGGTCAATCACTCGCATCGAGAGAGGTGTCTGCTTTGGCGTTCATGAACCTAGAGTCAGTCTCCCTTCTCGTAGCAGAGAATGTGTGTATACTAATGCGCTACTGTCACGATCATGGCATGTAGAAACACGTCTATGAGCAATCGGATTATGGAATATTTCAGTCGATCAGCCGATGTTTGAACACAACCATCGACGAGCACCCAAAACGAGGATCGGATAATGTGTATTTGGTCTGTGTACGTAGTCAGATGTGTATCTTTCTTTTACCTCGTAATTTGAACCCGAGAAAGAAGGGAAGGGCGTCACCAAAAAGCTTCATCCTGACGATTACTTTCTTTTGGTCTGTTCTCTTTCTCTAGACATTTCTTGCATCATATCTTGACCTATTCCAACCCATCAACCCCACTCTGGCGAATCCCAATCAAGATAATGCAAATCCGTCGAAGATCCTATATCCTCAAGTTTGGCGTATTTGGCGCACAGCGGCCGATGATCAGGCAGGGCAACAGACAGGAGGCTGGGATCCTATGGAGGAGCCGAGGTAATGGTCAAAGAGACTAGAGCTTGGTTTTGCCATGGTTTGAGGGCCCTTTCTTCTCGCGCACTATCACATTGTTGAGGACACTTGCCTTCCCGGTGCACTATCAAGTGATCACCATTGTATCTAATAGAAACTTGTGTCCTCAAATCTTATCTTCCTAATGAAGAGAAGGCTCACTGAATGTCACAAGGAAAATTGATCGGGCGGACACGGCGGCACAGCTGCTATGTACGGCTCTGAATTCCACATTGCAGCTGTGTTGTGAGATTCACAGGCCGGCAAGAGAAAGGGAAACGGGATGGAGAAAAATGAGATGAACATCAAATGGCTGAAATAGTCCTCAGACAGAAGTGCATTGCTACTCGGTTAATGCCAAGCGAAATCATTTAGGCACACTCACCAGTTGTTAAGCTACATAGGATGTAAATGGGGTGTCATTGCTTCCCCCCGTGCATCTGATCAGAAACATACTGCGAACACATGAGATGATGACGATGCCTTTATAATTCACGACATACGGAGTATGTCTGAGGTGCAATACATATTCCGCACCAAGCAAATGCTAAGTAATCCCAGAAATCTGAGGTTATCGACCACCCTTGTACCCCCATGAGCTACTGGGTTCACTATTATCGGCAGGTACAGCTCATGAGCCAGGTCACGCTCACACCCGGGGCCCCGAAGCCACGAGGCGCCCCGGAGGGGCACATGGCCGTGGCCAGGGCTTAGGCCACGCGTGGCCCTCACCACAAGCCCTTCATGACCTTCATAGTGCATGAAGTTCAGCTTAATTCCCCTTCAAAGAGTGCCTTAAGCAGGGAGTAGCACCTGAAGATGAGTTGGGCTATGATCAAAAGTTGTTTCAAGGGCAGGCCACACAGGGCTGGGCAGGGCTGGGCCACGGCCCTGGCCACAGCCCTGGCCACGAAAAAGGTGCCGGGTGTGAGCGTGAGAGCCAGGTCGGTCCGACAGGTTGCCATTAGATAAAACCAACATACGGTCATCAGGCTCTTCTCGCGATAGCTACAGTGGCACCGAGCTGATAGGGTCCGGCAATCACCCGGCATACCCTGAGCAGCTGGATGATGGATCGGAGGTCATAACGCATGTAGGTAGTAGTCCAGTAATTGCTTAATGAATCCATGACTTCAAGGTAGAGTATCTGCTTCAAGACTTTCATGGTGTCAGATGATAATTTTCCTCATCCACTGATTTCTCCTTTTCTATAAATAGAGCTTAAAATTGAGTGCACACCCTGGCACGCCGCACATCGCACCTTGTGATCCATCCGGCTCATCAAACCGGTCTGAGTTAGCAACCGCGGAGCTGCTCTTGAACTTGGTCTTTTAGCTTGCTGATCCTTTTGGCCATGCATGTTGACAATTGACTCGAGGCGTTAGATCAAGTTTTAGCGGTGCTCTCAACACAAGGAGCAACTGGATCGTTCGTAATGTACAGGAAAACTCAGATAGCCGCTCTCTTCTATTCTGGGATCCAGATCCTCCAATTTCAACTTCATACTTGGGTTCGTTGGGTCCAGATCCTTCACGCAATCAAACCCGTGGCTGTTGGCATCGATCGCAAGCAGCTCTAAATTTTCAAATGTATAAATACGGCGCCATTGCATGATAAAGGTTTGTACTCACCCCCATCTAACTGTTTCTCATTACTCATAATACTCAACAATCGTACAAAAGGATTTCAACTTCGACAACTTGATTCAAGGAAAAACAAGTATGGCCCAGATGGACCTAGCGTTCGCTCCAGCTTCGACTCGAGCGAAGCTTGTGGGTATTTTCATGGCAGGCTTTGCCGCATTTGGAGGGTGGGTTTTGATTCATGCTTATCAATCAGGACAGCTTACTGAGAACGCATTCTTTGTGCATCTTCACAGTATCTTATCTGGATATGACACCGTATGTCCTCAAGTAAATAGATGACATTTGTCTAGGTACTCATTTTCAGCCCTTGGCGCGGTTTATTCTAGGGTTATATCTCAGGAATAAAAGAAATGGAATATTGGTATGTGTTGCTCGAGCTACTTTCAAAAAATATCATTCATGTCACCGAGCACGAAATATAAAATGGCACGCACGAGTAAAACATTAACTGATGACTTATCTTGATCTTTGTAGGCTCCAGACATTTGGAGAACAAGATGAATCTGGAACCTATGTGGTCAGTGGATCTACAAAATTTTGCCTTCGTAATCAATAAATGTTTGAAATTAACCCCTTGGATCGTTTCCAAACAGCTCTCAACGGCGAGCAATTCGCTTGTTACCTCCGTCATGTCGGTTGGAGCCTTTGTCGGAGCGATACTAGCTTCTCCCTTGGGAGACATCCGTGCGACCTACTCTTCTGAATCTGATCAACATCTTGGAATTTTGACAAGTTTCCCCTCTTTTTCATTTTTCAGTTGGTCGACGATGGGGAGTCATCTTATCATGCGCAATTATCATTGTTGGTGTCACGCTACAAGCTACTTCTAGCACTATCACCATTTTTGCTGTTGGAAGGATCTTTTCTGGGATGGGCATTGGATTGGCATCTTGTTTAGTACCGATGTACCAATCCGAATGTGCCCCGTATGTCGTCATCCATCCTCTCTTATATCTGATTTTCAATTGCTATTCTGACGTGGTTATTGGTCATTCTGATTCCAGAAAGTGGATCCGAGGTGCCATCGTGGCTTGTTATGTATGTTATCCCAAGATAACCATAGACTTCAACATCTTGAGACTTATTGGGATACCTCACTCATATCTGCTTGGTCTGATTACTTTGTACAGCAATTGGCCATCACAATCGGTTTGTTAATCGGTGCCTTGATGATTAACGCTACAAAAGACCGACCGGACATGGGCTCGTTCCGAATCCCAATTGTTCTTCAAGTTGAGTCACCATTTTCTCCACAAGTGACTTTGCCTGCGACCGAATCAAATAAAGTTGTGTTCTGTATGAGGAAATACCTAATTAATCATCTCATCTTAACAACAGTCTGGCTGGGCCGCTATTCTCGCTATTGGACTCTTCTGTCTTCCAGAATCCCCCAAATTCTTGATTCTGAAAGGAAAAAAACAACAAGCTAGAGCATCTCTGGCTCGATTGTCATCTCTGCCTATAGACTCACTACAAGTTTTAAGAGAATGTAACGAAGTGGCAGATTCATTGGGGATTGAACGAACAACGGCAACTGGAACTTATGCAGATTGTTTCAAATCGGGAAAAGGAAGGTATCGACTGAGAACATTATCAGGAATGGCCATCCAAATGCTTCAGCAAGCCTCTGGGTATGTACATATCCTCATCTGTTGGTATCTTGTCAGGAAAACGGAATCGAAATACTGATTCTGTATCTATTTCTGATTAGGATCAACTTTATCACCTATTATGGAACTTCGTTAAGTCCAATTTCAATTCCAATGTAACAATTCTTTTAGATTTTGACTCATCACAAACATTGCCAACTTACAGATTCTTCAAGAACAGTAACCTCAAGAATCCATTCATTATCACCATCATCATCACTAGCGTATGTTGATTCTTGATTTTCTTAGCTTGGAATTGATGAAGAAGTCGGAATTTTTACTCAACTGTCTGATAAGTTCCTTGGGCCATTTAGGTGAATGTGGCCATGACATTTCCAGGAATTTGGGCCGTAGATCGGATCGGTCGTAGAGGTCTACTCTTGTTGGGTGCAGTTGAGTCACGAGTTCATCTTCGATAGAATGCGATACATACTGACAGAATTGAACAGGTGGTGATGTTTGTGTGTGCATTGCTGATCGCGATCCTAGGAGTAATCCCACCATCAACAGACTTATCTGGGCAATATGCCCTCATTGCACTTGTGTGTATCTTCGTTGGAGGATTTGCAGCTACTTGGGTCAGTCCCAAGATCGATTGCCTACATCATCATAGCTCTAGTTCTCAATACACTTCTTTTGTTACGTGAACTCTCGATATAGGGCCCTCTTGTGTGGTAAGCTCTTGTGTTACTTCAGTCACTGGATCCATGAGGAGTCTAATAACTGATTGGCGATTTCTGAACACTCTGTCTCCCTTTCAGGGTTGTAACTAGTGAGATATTCCCGTTGGCAATAAGAGCAAAAGCTATGTCTCTGTCGACGGCAGCCAGTTGGGGAACGTTAGCGAACTTTTACTGTAGTGTTTCTGGCTTGCGCTACATAAGCTGATGTTGATTTTCGTGACTTTGTGATGACTTCTGCAGCAACTTTGCCATTGGATTTGCAACACCATTCATGGTTGACGACGGGCCAGGGAAGGCAGGCTTAGGTTCCCGAGTATTTTTTATCTGGTCAAGCTGCTGCCTTCTCGGTGTGGTCTTCACCTTTTTCTGGTGAGTAACGAAACTTTTCAATTCAACCATCGATGCCGTCACACTGATAAGATACTCGCTCGCTACTTCATTTCTGACAAAAGTATTCCGGAAACAAAAGGCTTGTCACTCGAGCAGGTTGATGATGTCTATCAAAACAGTTCCATCGTTGGTTCTGATCGCTACCGTCGACGGTTATTGGCTGCTGGAAGTGCAGTCATGAACAGTCAGGACACAGTGGTAGCGCCTGATTGTGACATGAAACAATCTCACAAAAGCTATTCGCCAAAGTAAAAGGAATCTTACCAGGTCTCTTCTTTTCTCCCTTGATACCCTTGGTCTGTCAACACGCTTTGATCGAAAAAAAAATTCATGGTCCCATGTTCTATCTTTCTGAGGCTACAAGCTTGTAATTATTCTTTGTAGTAGAGTTTTTGTGTTACTCTGTACCGGTTGATTGTCCAGTTAGCAAATGCTATAAGAGCTCATGTGAATCTTTCTTTCCAAAAAATGTCTCAGTTTCTCTTACATTTGAAGATGTTTTTTATTTTCCTTCTCACTGCGGATTTTGTCGAAAAATATTTTGATCAAAGCAATATAGGAAATTGCACCAATAGATCGCCTCGAATAAAAGATAATCACGTGTAATTGTATCCTTCTGTG